ACACACACACACACACACACACACACACACACACACACACACACACACACACACACACTGCTGTACCACAGTAGCAGACAAAGTGAATGGTTAAACGTTTAGATGCAGCAATAGTCCAACCTTTGATCTGCTGATGTTTTTAAAGACGGCACTCAGTGAATGGACAAAACAGTGATAAGGTATAGATGTCTTATCCATATACGTCTCACAGTACACACACTGTTAGAGGGTAAAGCTCTGATGTGCAGTTACAGGGCTCCTCTGCAGGCAGAACACTTCTGAAAGCAGTTTGAGCAGTGACCTTTCTGACTGCTCTCTTAAAAAAACAAAAACTTCCCTTTTCATTGCATGTGTAAATCCAGCCTGGATTTAATTTTGGGGGGAACAAATAAAACTTTCACATGCTAAATCTGCTCTTCTGATTGACTCCCTTGGGAGTATAAGCATCAGTTTTTGTAATGTCTGTTTTCATATCAAACATTGATACAAACACACATATTTGTCTGTGGTAGTAAAAACGTAGCAAATGCGGGTTTCGCTTTCTTTTCCTCAATTCAGAGTTTTGCTTTTGAAACACTCAACCAATTTCCCACTATAACTGATATAGTCAAGACTAAAATACCGCCTGTCCCAGTGTGGTTGTGGTTTATTAACACCTGGCTATTTTTTTTTCCACATTTAAAATGTGATCTGAAGAAAACCCCGTCCACATGGTCCTTCTGTAGCCAAAAGATCACAGGGTTGAGTCATCAATGATCACATTATGTTCCGTTTTTTTTATCTTATATTTAAGACTGTCATCTTCGGTCATGGACTTTAACAGTCCTCTGACTCATGCCTCTCTACTGATTTATTCAGAGTCGAGTGCAGCTGAGCTGGACCAATATAACTTACGCCTCTTACTCTTTCTGATGCTAGCAGAGTGGAGATGGAAATGCCGTAATAAGAGGCGGTCAATACAAAGGCAGATTATAATGATTTGCTAATCATGTGTACTGTATAACAAGTTATTCAGAAATGGGGATCATAACAGTTTTACTAATGGCACTAAACGTGTGGTAAAATTATTTGTGATGTAAAAGGTCACTCCAGGATTAGAGACTACATCAAGGAGGGGTGTAGCTAGAAAGGTCTAAAAAGTAAAGCCAAAACAGAAGTGCCGTAAACATGAATTCTTTTTAATGGCTGGCACAACTTCAATAGTAAGCCTTTACCCAGTGATTGTGCAGTGTCATTGGTTTCACAGTTGCTTGCCACATGTGGTTTTAAAACACCACAGTCACAATGATGAAAATGCGTCACAGCGAGACTTCACTTACTAGTCAATGGGTGATGTCATAGTTACTACCTGCTACTTAAAGAAATGACAAGAAAGCTTGTCTAAGAGAGTTTGGGCTGTGTTGAAGAATAAAGGTTGTCTAACCAAATAATGACAAACTCTGTTTTTGCCTCATATACTGTATTTCCATGTATCTTTGTATGTGTTTCAATAAATTGCTGCACATATTTTCCATTTTCCCTGCAAAATATTTAGAATAAAGAGCAACAGCTCAAGAATTTTACTGTAGTCCACATTCAAAGTGTAGAACATAATCCAGACTGAGAAAAACAGAAGGGATCAACACAGGGTTAGCATGACTTAAAAGCCTCACCAAGGCTAATCAAGATCTCTAAAGGTCTTTTTAATTGCATGTTTCTGTGTAACTGCCCATTTCTTAATTAATTAAGAGTACACATTTGCTATTTCAGATTATTTAATCATATTCTGAATGTATCTGCTCTTTCTGATTGACAGACACAGAGCCAGGCCACATCCCTGGCTCCATCAGCATTCCTTTCCACGCCTTCCTGTCACCTTCTGGCCACTTCCTGCCAAAGGAACAACTCCAGGCTCTGTTTGCCCGTGCTGGTGTGGATCTCGACCACCCGCTTTGTGTCTTATGTGGCTCTGCAGTGACCGCGTGCCACGTGGCACTGGCGGCCCACGAGTGCGGGCACCCGGGGGTGTCGGTGTATGACGGTGGATGGTCGGAGTGGTACACCCGCGCCGTGCCCGAGCACGTCATATCAGATGGGAGAGGGAAACATTTGTGATAACAGGAAGGACCTGTGACCGATGGTTTTAGGCTGGATCACTTGTGCTGTTGTTGCTATTGAAGTTTGGTCATTTGGGATTTGTATGACTTCCTCCTGTGAAGCCACAGCCAGCAGCACGATAGCAAAATTTCCCAGAATGTCCGAAAAGCTCCTGTATTAATAATACACCACTGGGAATTTTTTTTTTTGTTCATCTTTTATATACTGATAGATGATTTGTGATTAAAGTCAACAATATGTGGACACTAAACTGAACTTCTTAACCCCGTCCCACCACCTCAAGTCTCCACCTGTTGGCAGCTCACGGACTCAAAGACACCTACACTTTGTAATCTTGTGTAATCTTTGGTAAAATAAATATGAACATGTTTATCGACGCAGTAACTGATTAAAAAGGACTGAAAATAGACAAAGAGCAGAGTCTCCTTTGTTAGGTTCTTACAATAATGCAGTTTAAACGATGGACTTTTGACTTGTTGACTGATTAGAGCCTAAGGATAGTGATGTTTTTCTGTTTGTTTTTGGGGGGGTTTCCCCTTCCAAAGTCAGATATCCTGAGAAGTTTGTGTCTAAAGAAAAAAGAAATTAATATATCATCATGATTGCTACTGTCTCATGTCATGTTACACATTGCCAATTACTGTACAGCATTTTAGAAGACTCTTTTTCTGTGGTGGCTTAAAATGATTTCAGTGATGCAATGTTGATGCTAAAAATATTGCTTTTAATATAACAAGTAAATCACTTTTGCCATATACAATAATCATTTCTTGAGTAAAGTTCAGCATGAACAGATATAAAATAGACTTGCACTAAAGGAAACAAAAATGTGGCGTCAAAACCCACTTTGCTGTGACGTACTTGGTGATAGTCACACGTATTACACGTAAGGCATTTTTCCACTGCATAGCAAAGGGGTTGCTGTACATAAGTTGAAATGTTAAAGCTGACCTGTGACAAGGAAGTGAGACTCAAATGTCCTCTCTTCCTCTTTCGCATTAAAAAAGCCTTTTGCTTTTTCTGAGCAGTATAGTTGTACATGTGTCACCGAGAGGACATGTTCATTATTTGTGCTGTTGCAGTGTGGGAGTAGTCACCCTGTCCTGGCTCTTAACTGGTGAGTGTGGTGCTCTGATAAAAGATTTCTGTTATCTTGCTGCGAACATGAGCTCCTTTGGGAAAGTTGTTGGTGATAACTTAGAACAGCAGTGAAGTCCCAAGATAATCTCTTGGTTTGTTTTTTATGTCATAAATAATTGGGGGTTTTTACTTTTTAAGTTTTATTTTATTTTATTTCAGAACACAACATAAATTCTAGTTAGACTAAAAACAAATAAAAATACTAACAATAAGAAAAAGCTCGCTTGTTTTAACACTGATTATATTTTCAGGGCTTTAATGTGAAGTTATCTTTGTGAAGTTAATATTTATCCCTTTCCACTTTATAATAACCAACATTAAATGCCGTTTGAGTTTGTGTTTCTAAAGCTTCCACTCGAGGGCAGCACTACACTAGAGTTTTAAACCTTGGCATTCAGCACTGTTGTATAATAGGAGCTCAGGTGAAATAGTCTGAACATTTAATCATGAGTATTTTTAATTAGTTTCTCTGAGCAGCTTTGCTGAGCACCTGCATCTACACACAGAGTTGTCTCAGGATTGTATCCACTTGAAAAATGTGTTACTTTGTATAAAAAATGGCTTTAATTCTTAAATAGTTCTTGTTAAAGTGTTGTCGTAAATCTCACCCAAACGGTCGCAGCAGATGGCTGCCTCGCCCTGAATCTGGTTCTGCTGGAGGTTTCCTCCTGTTAAAAGGGAGCTTTTCCTTCTCACTGTCGACAAGTGCTTGCTATTTGGGGGTCATGTTATTGTTGGGGGCTTCGCTCTATCATTATAGTGGCCTTACATCACAATAAAAAGTGCTGTGAGGGAACTGTTATTTTGATTTGGCACTATGTAAATAACATTGAACAGAATTGAAACTGACATTGTTAAAAAACTTGTGGAACAGTGAAACATTTACTCGTCAAACAGTAAATGAAGGTTTTTCTTCAAAAACACCTCCAACATTTTGACATTTATTAAGTATCTTTTGGTTAGTTACATAATTAAATTCATATTACGATCATTTATTTGTCTATACATAACTATTAATGTACAGTTGGTGATCTTAACTTGGCTTTAATGTCCTTTATGAGTCTAATGGGCACCATAACTTATATAAATCACGTTTTAAATAAATGTTGGAACTTGTCATTAAGACCCATCAGGAAAGTGTTTCCTCAGGTCTTTTTTTCTTTAGAGTTCAAGGCTTTTTTGAAACTAGAGTCTTGAGATATTTCCATCTCTGGTTGGTCTCTTGCTGTTAGCTGTTTTTAGCATGCTATTGATGCTTAGAGAGATCTAATGTTCTGTTCGCAGCAGCGCAAAGGCAGACATCACAGACAGAAAAATAATATAAAAGATAATGTTGTAAAAACACTTTACAAACTGTTCCTTTTTTCATCCGTCTCAGAAATGCATGATTTAGAAAGTAAAAATACAACATAATCGTATTTTTTTCCTTAAAATGTCAAGCATCATGGACAAATGACATTACATAGCAGTCAACAGTAGTTACAAAAGGTGCAATGAGCAATCAGCTAATACCCGCCACAAGATGTCACAACAGTACAAAATATTAATATAATATTATAATATATACGACTATAATATTAGTTATAATATATGCAGTGTGCTAAGAAGTGAAGAGTGTGCTGAGAAGATTAAAGGAATACTTTAAGAAGCTAATGAATGTAAAAAACGAGAGCCAGAGGGGGACGGAAAGTGGATAGTTAGCCAATGAGGAAGTGCAGAGGATTAGTAGCAAGGAAGTGAGGCAGCTCTAGAAGAGTGGAAAGGCAGTTAATCCAGATGACATACAGTGGAGGTTTGGATGTTTCTAGGAGAGAGGGCAGTGGACTTTTTAACTAGATTGTTTAACACAATCCTGGAGATTGAGAGGACCCATGAGTAATGGAGAAGAAGTACACATCTTCTTCATTCCTTTCCAAGAACAAAGATGATGTGAAAAGCTGTAGCGGTATGGCTTCATGCTGTGAAAGAGCACTTCAGGTGTAATGTTTGCTTTAAGAGTGTTGCTGGGTGGGCACTGGTTTAGCATAGTTGGATGAGCAGGCGACCATGTGCTGCACGTCTCCCCCTCTGTCTCTTTTTGCGTTCCTGTCAGTCTTCACTGTCTCCATCTAATAAAGCCAGAAAAAGGCCAAAAAATATTTTTTTAAAAAGTGTTGCTGGAACATCAAAAAGGGGTTGCACTGTCTTCATGGATCCAGAGAAAATATACGATAGGGCGCCTGAGGTAGCGTGTTAGGAAATCAGAAGTGTATGTGAGTGTGGCGCAAGACATGCAGGACGCCAGCGAGACAGTGGGTTAGGTGTGTGGTAGAAGTGCCAGATGAGTTCAAGGTGGGTATGGGATTACATCAGGGTTTGACTTTGAGTCCTTTCCTGTTTTTGATGGTGATGGACAGCCTGACAGGTGAAGTCAGGCAAGGGTCTACGTGGACTAACGATGCTGACAGATGATATTTTGCAGTGGCGAGAAGGTAGCAGAGAGCCTGGACATGTGGAGGTTTGCACTGGAGAATAGAAGAATGAAAGTCAGTAGAAGATAGAATACATGAGTGAGAATGAGAGGGATACAGGTGGAACGGTAAACATGCAACTAGCACAGGTGGTGAAGGTGGGGTCAACCATCCAAAGCCTCATATAGTAGACAACAGAGGTGAAGAAGAGAGTGCAGCGGGTGGAGATGAGGGTCAAGGTTGATGTGTGACAAGAGTGAATGGAAAGATTTCCCGTGTGGTGGTGAACTCTGCTATGATGTATGGTTTGGAGACGGTGGCACTGACAAAAAGGCAGGAGGCTGACGTGGAGGTGGCAGAGTTGAAAATACCAAGATGTTTTACTAAGAGGATGGACAGAATTGAAAATGAGTACATGAGAGGTATAGCTCATGTTGAAAATCATTTTTGGAGGGGTTAAAGGTTTTATTCAACCCCTCATGAACAAAATGTATTGCCTAAACCTTTTATACGTGTCTGGCCAGGTTCTAGTAAGTTATGCACAAGTTGGCTTCTTGTATATCCTGTGTGCTGTGGCTTAAAAGCCCCCCTAATCGTGAGACTGGCCTACTTTTTGGTGATCTGCTTGTGTGTGCCTGACATGTCACAGCACGTGATTAATATTTGTTTTGGTGTCTGCGTTAAAATATTGTCTTTAACACTTTTTCACCTGTGAGGCCCAGTTCGGTCAGATTTAGGCTGTCTATTTTCATCTGCTGTGTGCAGCTGGATGTGGTACTTGCAACGGTGGCATATTTTTAAAAAAAAGTAAGACACTCTAGCACACGTGCACACTTCAGCACCTCTAATTTCAAGTCCTTTCCCAAACTGATAGCATTTCACCAGCAGTGGATAGTTGTGTATTAACTGGGCACAGTCACTTTTTTGTAGTATAGACTGTTCTGCCACTTATATCGTGCCTCCAGGAAACTGCAGAGGGATGATTGCCGTGTGAGTGCATGCACACGAGAACAAAACTAAATTTAGGACAGTGATGTGTTGTATTACTCAGTAACGCGTAAATGCATTACAGTAACACCAACACTGCTTTTTACCCACAGAAAAACCAGGTAGGATGACAAATAGAGGTTTTCACAATTAACCAATAAGCTTATTTAGTAAGCCAGCTGTTTCCCCCATTCTCAGCCTTTCTCACTTGCTAAGCTAACCTTCATATTTCTTATGTAAACATATGAGATATCGAACTTTCCATCAAACTCTCAGTAAGAAAGCACATTTCCCAACTAATCATTTAACCTGGCCCTAAAAAGAGTTGACTCTGAATTTCAGTTAGCAAAGCAAACAAAACAGAGGCATGAAATTATAGTTTCTGCACTAGCATATTACTTTTACTTCTTACCAAGTCATAGTATTTTTAACAAATAATAGAAACTCAGTGCAAAGGGAACAGAAAGTGTTTATGCGAACATAGAAAAAGGGGTTTTCACCACGTTTCACATTTCTTGACACGCTGATTGAATGTCACCGAGTTACAACCCCAAGGGAAACCACAGCACCGCAGCCTCTTCTTTTCTCAGAAAATTTTCCAATACGTCACCAGAGGCAAGACGGCAAAACTTTAGTCAAAGAAATGTTTAGGGTACACGGCCTGAATAACCCTACAGACATGGAAATGACAGCACGCTGAACAACTCTGGAACGGTAAGTTCAATTTTTACTTGGTTTACTTGGTCTTTTCTAAGAGAGATCAAACACATTTTTTAGTTGCTATGAATGAATGAACCTGTGGTGAAGAAAGATGGTGTTGCAGTGTGATGGAGAAAGTGATAAAGTCTACTCTGAAGCGAGATTAGAAGTGGCTGGTTACGTGCATGTGATGAATGGAAAAGGCTTACTTTTTTCTGTATTTAATTCATAAAATCATAACAAGTTAAAGCTCACCTATTGTGTTTATGCAAGAGTTCTCACTGTATTTTCCACAATATAATTGTGAACAAGACTTTTCAGTTACATTGTAATTGTAATATATTCTGCACTAAAGATCACCTAAAAGGTCCAAGTAGACAGAAATATATTTAGATATAAAAACTAGTCCCAGTAAGATACCTAATGCTGTCTTTTTAATAAAAACGCTCACTCGGAAAGGTGCACTTTAAATGGCACAGGAAAACAGGTGGGGGGGGTGAGGCAGGGGGAGGTGGCAGAATAGCAAAGACACAAAATAGTGTGGAGGAGCGAGAGAAGGAAAGGACGCCAGAGTTAAAGGGTTTCTAAAAGGACATGTGGATAGTTTTGTCAAATAAACAAAAGTCGTCCATGCACACAACAGCTTTTTTGGGGGTTGCAGTTTGAAATGTGTCAGCATGCTAACAAGCAAGTTTATCATGTTGATTTTACACATAAACAGTATTAAACAAATTGAAATTCAGACATTTCACAAAGCTCGTGGTAAGCTGTAAACACCCAAACTTCTGCCTGCCAGCAGCATTAGAGGAAACAGCTCAGGGGATTTATTGTATGTCTGTACAAAATTATGTGTCCCTGCATGCTCAACAGTCATACTGCTGCTGCCGCTGTTGTTTCGGGATACGCCTACTCCTAGACTGCGGCTATGATATGCTAATTTCTCCCACCTTCAACCCTTTCAGTTAAGAATTCAAGCCATAGCGGCATAATCAATCCAACCATCTCATTTCCAAGTATCTGATCACATAAAAACTACTCGGCAGATTCTTGTCTCTGACATCATAATAATAACGATACTTCAATTAATCACTTACAGTAAACAAGACAAGGTTCCACCAACTGACAACCATGCTCATTTTAGCTACTTATAGTCAGAGAGCAACAAACATCTTTACTGCCTCTTTTTGGTTGAACATCAGCCATAAAAACAAAAGAAGGAAAGAAAAAATACCCAGACAGGTCAGCAACTTTCTGGTAACCACCAGTTGCTTAGGGAAAATCTGCATTTCCTGACACCAACTATCTAATGAGTGACATTTTTGTCAGTCATGTAGGTTGACAGGGTGGACCGGACTTTAAGCCCATGTGACTGAAGCTTAATATGATTACTATTATGAAGCAGTTCTGATCTGTATGCCCACAGAAATGAATAAAACATGTTACTCCAGCTCACCACTAGTTGTGGTTTCAGAAACCGCTGCACCAGTAATTTCAAGAAAAAAGTAGTTCAAGAAATGAAGAGTAGACTTTCTGGATTGTGAATGGTTGCTTTTTTTGTTATTGGAAACAAACATACCTTTCTGGGAAGACAAAGGGGTTAGGATGTGGTTTAAGTTTTTAGTGTGTATTTGTATTCAGTTTGTGGTTGTTTTTCTCGTGTGTCAGTGAAGTGAGTAAGGAAAGAGAGAAAGAGACGAAAGAGAAAAAAAAGAGATCAAAGAGTGTCAACTTTTTCACTTTGCTGTCGGACCAGTGTAGGGGAAGTCCAAAAGTCAGTAGACAAATGATATGAATAGAACTAGTGCTTAACACATGAAAAATGGTTCTTAGAAGGTAAAGTATTAAGATAGTGTCTGATAAGAAGAGGCAAGAAGAGGAATCTTGATTTTTTTGAAGTTATTAACAAAGCGGGTTTTCCACAATTGGATAAGTGGTCAACTGACGCAAATCATTCAAATCTCCTGTTAGCTGGGGAAGTCTGTGGATTGTCCAGTATGACTTTGACTCGTGTCATTAATCATGTGACTTCAGGTTTGATTAAAAACAGACTTGTGATTTCAGTCTTATGAACTTTTTAAAAAAAAAATCCACCATAACAGAAAAAGTCTTGTTGAAGTCTAACCAAAAACAAACAATCCATCCATCTTCTTCCGCTTTATCGCGGAAGAAGTCGCGGGGGCAGCAGCCTAAGCAGAGAAGCCCAGACCTCCCTCTCCCCAGCCACCTCCTCCAGCTTATCCGGGGAACACCAAGGCTTTCCCAGGCTAGCCGAGAGATATAATCTCTCCAGTGTGTCCTGGGTCTGCTCCAGGGCCTCTTCCCAGTGGGACATGCCCAGAACACCTCACCCAGGATGCATCCTTGTCAGATGCCCGAACCACCTCAGCTGGCTCCTTTCGATGTGGAGGAGCAGCGGTTCTACTCTGAGCCCCTCCCGGATGGCTGAACTTCTCACCCTATCTCTAAGGGAGAGGCCAGCCACCCTACGGAGGAAGCTCATTTCTGCCGCTTGTATCCGCAATCTCGTTCTTTCGGTCACTACCCACAGCTCGTGGCCATAGGTGAGGGTAGGGACGTAGATCGACCGGTAAATTGAGAGCTTCGCTTTTACACTCAGCTCTCTCTTCACCACGACGGACCGGTGCAGCGTCCGCATCACTGCAGCTGCAGCCCCAATCCGTCTGTCGATCCCTTCTCCCATCACTCGCGAACAAGACCCCGAGATACTTGAACTCAGAAACGTTGGACATAATTGGACAATATTACTCAGCTGAAACAAGGCTGTCCATAAGACTTGGCTTTGATGACACTGTAAGGGTAAAAAAGATGGTTTGTCAGAGTGGAAATAATTGAGGATGAGGCATTCCTATCCAAAGTAATTACAGTGAATCATTTCATGCTCTGTATTCCATACACAACACCAGAGGTTACAAGTAGACAATTTTACATAATCCAGACCTTTATGTCTTTAAGAAATGCTTAAATGTGACTAAATGGACAGTTTCACCTGGCTTCAAAGATAAATATAGCTTGGCTCTGTCATCATAGCTATGAAAATGTGTGCAGTGTTCACTAGTGATATTGCTGAAGTTGAATAAAGGTAAGTGTGGGCACAGAAGCTCATGGAACTTCATGATGAATCTTTTGCATTTAAAAGACTCACCGCTCTTTGAAAGTCTGTCTGAATGCTTTAACTGCAGAGGACTTCTACCCAGGCAAGAAGAAAGAGTAGCTGTGATTAAACCAAAACACCCACATCAAACATGCGCCTTGTTTGAGCCGTCTGCTACAGATTGATGTGACTGCAGTGCGACCTTTATAGATCTGGTAGAGTGAAAGGTCAGTTTCTACAGATTCCTCACACTGAGGAGCAGCAGTGCATTAGAGGTGTCAGGTAGGTGTATGTTGTCAGACCATTTGCATGCGGAAGATCAGATAACGAATAAAATATAAGCAGTCTCATATCATAATTTGACACAATAAGTAATCTACTTCATTTCCTATCCCATACTGGTGGTTCTCTTTTTTATTCTGGAAGATTGCAAGGCTGTTATCTTCTTGGATCACTACATGCAACATTGTCACCCTAAAAGAGCTCTCATCAGAGAGTCTCAATGTCAGGATGGAACTGATATTGCTTTATGCTGCAGCACATGACTCAATCTAATAGTACATTTTAAGAGGATGTAGTTAGTGTAACTTCCCCCCCTCACCTTTTGTATCAACTGACATCTTGTTAATTTTTACACAAAGTGCCTCCTGTTAAGCTTATCAACTTCCCGACTACTAAAGCACTTTCTTGTAATGTGCATGACTGGAAATTGTATGCTCCATTTATTAAAATCCTGTAAGTCTGAGCTCATTGCATGCAATCAGATTAAGTTTTTTTAAGAAGTGCCGTTAGCAGGAAGTGAACCTGTCAGAATAATGGAACATTTGAGTTCTCAGAAAAACATTTTGACCTTTATTAAACCTTGCAAACAGGTGACCGTAGAAGCACCAACACAATGTGCTTTCCCCTGTGCACGGAAATGGAAGAAAAACAGTAGTGTGCAGCGGTTTAGGCTAAAAAAAAAGGAGAACAACACTTTTTCTTCTTTTTTCTTCTTCTTTTTTTTAAAGAAATGATACTGGCACCACAAATATTTATCAGTAAATGATTTTTAAAATGTTCCACTGCATTTTAAACTGCAGCAACTCATGGTATACTTGCCACGAACTGCCACAAGTGTTGACTTCTGCATGACACTTGGAACGTAGTTTGTTAGACAGTTATTCTATGGATTGTGGCTGAAGATAATATTTAGGGTTTTAGCTGCAGGTTCAGGTTTAGGTTTTCTATCATGCTACAAAGCAGAATACATGTTATGTTATGAATGTGAATCTAAACATGTAAAGAATCTACGTCAGCGCTGTGCAGTATAAACTTAATATGTTTGCGTTAATCACAATGAAAAGAAATGTTCGCTTGAATATCAATGAGATAAAATGCTTTTTAAAAAAAGTCTTTACAGATAATACTGCAGTAAACGCACAAGGTGAAAGTTTTAGGTCAGGCTGTGGGTGTTTGTGGGTCAGCTTGCACTTGGCTGCAAAACCACAAGAACCACGAATCCACACAAACACATTTTTTTTTCATCCTGTTTTTCACAGAGTTTAAATGTCATTGCGGTCCACATGCAAAGGCAGCTGCAGCTAATACATTTATAAGTATTAGCTGTAGCATGCCCTTTGTGTGCATTGCTGTGCACGGTTAAAAACCCAACAGGCTGGGGGGAAATGGCAGGCTGTAGTCAACAAACTAATAAATGATGATGAAGTTTAAAACTGAAACATTAACGCAGAAGCTGCCAGTTTTTACTTGACTGCATGTTTAAATGTGTCATCAGGTACTAAATTTAACCTTAATCTGTCAGTTGAAGGAAATGATAGGAAGTAAGAAACACGTGTTGACATGCTTCAGATGCTCAGAAGTGAAGAATAATTAATCAGAAGTTCACATTTTAGTCTGGAGAGCAGTGCCGATTCAAAGTAAGATCCTCTACAGTGTTAATTGCTTGAATTGAAAAGCAACGAATTCAACCTTTTTTTTT